TTTAATAGTCTCTCTATGGTCTCCCATAATTAGCTCGAGCTCTTCAGTACGATATTCCACCGGCCCTCCCCCCTCTGGGGATCCATCCAGCTGGGTAAAAATCACAGGGGTATTGAGTCTCTTTAAGTGTAGCCCCAAACCCTGGGCAAGGGTGGGATTAATCAAATTATGAGAGCAGCCAGAGTCTATCAGCGCCTGTATCTCCGCCCTCCGATTCGTCCTCACCACCCTTAGTTCCACCCAAATTTTAATGGGACTCACCCCCATCTCTTTGCTCTCTGAGTCCTCCCATGAACTACTTTCTTTCTCCAGAAGAGTGGCCACCTGTCGGAGAGAGAACGGAGCTAACAACTTCCAGGTTTTGCCACCACCGCGTGTTGCCGCTCTAGCACCTGCCTCGCTGCCGACCGCCGCTGACTCTTTCTTGCTGGGCTTTGAAGACTTCAGCCCCTTCCGCTCCGTCTTCTTACCTCCCGGTTCCGGCTTCGCTTTAGGGCACGCTGTGGCAAAGTGCCCCAGCTCCCCACAGTTGAAACAGACGCGACGGCTCCTGCTACTTTCCGGCGCGCTCGTCTTCGCCTTGGGTGCCGCCTTCTTTGTTCCGGGTAAGGGCGGAAGTCGGGTTCTCGCTTCTACAGTGCGCCATTGCTCCTCCATCTCGCCAGCCATAGCAACTCGTCCATTAAAGGTTTTGGGGTAATCCCAGCACATCACGCGCTGCAGTAAATCGGGTTGCAAGCCTCTCTGGAAGAACTCGATTAGGAGCTCTTCAGGCATGTTAGGCAGCCTCTGAGCCAAACCCCGAAATTCATAGGTGAATTCAGATACTGACTTGGACCCTTGCTTCAGCCTTTCCAGGTCGCATCATGCTTTTAGCGCCATGCATGGGTCTTCAAAGCGTGTGCAGAGAGCCACCATGAAATCCTCTAATCTCCTTAAAGCCCGATCCTTCGCCCTGTGCAGGCCAACCACCCATTCGGCTGCCGTGCCTTCAAAAAAACTGGACACATAGGAGACCTTCTCCTCTTCGCTGTGGAACAATCCCCCATAGCCCTCCATGTAGATCCAAACCTGGGTGATAAAGCAAGCAAGCTGCTCAGCATCTCCCCCGAATTTCATGGAGATGCCCCACTGCTGCATCGGGCTCTTTTTGGCTCTGCTAGGTGGGAGATCCTCCTCTTCCTCGCTGGAGGTCTCTCCCTCAGCTGATTGCTCCGTCGCCTCCGTTCCTCCCAGTGTAGCCGCTGACTCTCATGTAGGGAGCGTAAATCCTCCTCCAAGCAGTTGATCCACACTGCCCTTAACACTCACATATCATCGGATAGGGACCCTATCTGCCCTTCCAGTTTTCCCATGCGGTCTTTCATCAAAGGGCCTCGTCCCTTCGTCACCGTTGCCCTCACCTCTGCTCGGGTTTGGCGTGATGATTGCACCAGCTCCTCCTGGATTACCACCTTCACTTCCAACGAAGGAGGGACCGGTCTCTCTTCTTCTTCCTCAATGACATCGTCAGCAATCCCGTTGTTCGGTAGGTCCTGGTCAACGTGATGCTTTGGACTCCCTGCAGGGCAAGCTCCCTGGTGGAAGTCTTCACTGGGAGTCTTAGCAAAATGTA